ACTATATATATAATCATTCAGAAGAACATCTTGACTATAACAATAGGGTAGACTGCCTCGGAGGATTGTGAACTCTTCTTTTGTTTAAACAACTTTTGTTTAAAGTTAAGTGGGTATCTTTCAGGAGTGTTTTAGTGCATATCAAGGAGTTTGTCTAGATCAGGGGTAGGCAACCTAAGGCCCGGGGGCCGGATGTGGCCCAGCAAGGCCTTTGGACCGGCCCCAAACCGGTCCTGCCGCCGCCGCCCCCCCACTGCCGCCGCCCCCCCCATGATGATATTGATTATTGTTGTTATTACTTGTTCTTGGGGTTTTCTTGACAAAATCTTCACAGGGGTTTTGCCATGGCTTTTCTGGGGCTGAGAGAGTGTGCATGCATTTTTTTAAATTTTTTAATTCTTTTTTTAATTTTAATTTTTATTTATTTATTTATTTATTTATGGTGCTTCGGCCCATCAATTGTCTGAGGGACAGCAACCCGGCCCCCGGCTCAAAAAGGTTGCCTACCCCTGGTCTAGATGGTCCTTGTCTCTTCCAACTTTATTTATGATTCTAAAGTGATCAGTCATTATACAGTGTAATTTTTAAGTGGTTTTAAAGTGATCAGGGTTGTTCTTGAGAGATGGGATTGAAGCTGCATCCCAAAATTCTAGATTCCTATGTGGGGGTGGGAATCTCTCCTGTTTCAGACATTGGCAATATCTGTCAGCATCTAGAAGGCTTGGAGTCTTTCTTTGCCCCCCACCCCACCCACACGTGTTTATTAGTTAGAAATAGCTCTTGGTAGTGTGGGAGACTCAACCAACATGTTTAATAAAACAGGGTGATTACTTTTATTGCAATTTTGGGATTCTATCATCATTTTTCAAGGGAAAAAAGATCTCATGAATCTGTTTGTCTAGTGAAAGGCGCACTGTTCCCAAGAAATGTGTTGTAGGGCAAAAAGTTGTAGGTTATGATGCCTCTTAATTTCTAACTTTCGGTCCTGTAGCCTTTCTGATTAAGCCCATGTTGGCAGTTAACTTTGTACGTATACAGTCATCCCTCTAGATTCGCTGACTTCCCGTTCACACTTTTGAATTTCCAAAAACGGGAAACCAGAAGGGACAAAATGGCACATGTGCCCATGGCGCACACACAGGGTTGCATGCAGGGCCATGCAGCCATTAAAAACAATGGGGCTCTAATATTTTTGGAATTTTTTTAATTCGCAGGGGGAGAGTTCCAGAACGGATCCCCCTTAAATTGGAAGGGACAACTGTATTGTGTTTTCTGTCCCTCTAAGCCAGTTGTTCCCAATCTTTGTATGCCCCACACCCCTCAGAAATATTTGGTTAATGTTCGCACCTCTTACAAAACTAATATCACATTTGAAGATGAAGAAAAGTCTAATTTCTAATTTTGAAATTGCAAATTGAACCACATACAATACTGCAGGTGAAGAAATTGAACCTAAAAAATAAAGCCTTTAATTCAGTGCATAAAATGCCAATCTAAATCGAACAATTAGATTCTAATTCAGAAAAAATTCCTCCAAGAAACAAATAATACTATCTGCAAATGCTTGCAGTTTAAAAGTATATCACTTTATTTTAATGCCTTTTATTTTTTCATCTTCTCTAATTTTGATGTTTAGAACCTCCAATATTATTACAAACAGCAAGGGCGAAAGTGGACACCCTTGCCTAGTTCCTTTCTCTATAGTGATTTTTTCCGTTCTTTCATCATTTACTATTATTTGAGCAATCTGTTCTTTATATATTGCCTTTATTTATTTATTTATTTATGGCAGCAAAATGTCTTGGAATAGCTCTCCTTTGTAGCCTGGCAATGGGCTAGACTTCTGTTGAAACAACACTGCTAGATCACCACATTGGCCATTTGAATTCTGCTAAAGACATCTAGGTCATGGACTTTTCTCCCACGCTGTTGTGTATGAGAGACCTCATGCTAATCTGTATGTGCGTGAGAGAAGGTGAGAAAGAAAGCAGGTTGTGAAAATATGCTCAACAGTACGTGCTATGGATTTAGCCAGTTGCAAAGTGTGTGTGTGTGTGTGTGTGTGTGTGTGTGTGTGTGTGTGTGTGTGTGTGTACATACATGTACTGCCTAACCTGTTCTCTGCTCTTGACAGCCATACTCTCTGTACAGAGCTGCATCCTGCCACACTACAAGGGCCCAGGAGAAAGACCTCACTCCATCATGGCACCCACCACCCAATCCAGTTCCCTACTCTCCCTGCTCTATCTGGCCCTACTGACATTTGTGGGCAGTGCTGTGCTCCTTGCCGAGATGCATCAACACAGCTTGTTGAGTCACAACGTCCATGCTTTTCTGGCGGTGCTCATGATTTCATCCTGCATCTGGATGCTCTGGTTCGGCTGGCACTCAGCCAGCAACAAGCAACTGAAAATGCATCAGGATCACCAGGCTGGAGCAAGCTGGCTCAAAGGTAGGGGTGCTACAAAAATTCAATTGGTTGCAATATATCAGTGATGGGGGATCATCAACCCACAGAGTCTGGATGAACTTCCTAGTCCAGTCAGGCTTCATTTTTGGCCATGCTGGTTAGACCAGATGAAAACTGTAATTCAGTGGCATCTGGAAGGGCACAAGTTCCCCAGATTGGGAATATACTGGTTCTCATAAACACTTGAAGATGGTCATTAACTATGAATCTTTCTGCCTTTCCACAATGTAGGCATTTCTGTTAAAGAGAAATCAAAGAGAGTTGTACTGTAGCAGAGTTGGCATACTATAGACCCTGGAAGCCTGCACCATTTAAAACATTTAAAAATGCAACTTTTAACAAAATGGAAATCTACTAGCAAACAATTCATTACATAAGGGGTTGTGACAAATCAGTATGCCTGCTCTTCCAGACTTGTGAGGTAGGGTACGGTAAGTTACAAGACACTCTGTATATTTTCCACAGAGATCATATTTTAATAATTTTTTCTGTCCTACATAATGCAAGAATCAAGGTGTATACAAATCTGGAGAAAGGTACCGGTAGTTTTCATAGCTTCATTTCTACTCCTTTCAACCAGGTGAATATGTGTCTGCCAAGCCGACTAGTGCATAAATAAGTTCACCTTTAATATTAGCCAAGAAAATCAGATCAGTTCCAATTTTCAATTCAATGTATTTGAAAAAAGATCTGAGAAGAGAATATAGTTTGAAACAGTCAATCACTTAAAAAAAAAGCAGTGGGTGAGGAAAAATAAGACCCACATCTGGGACTTCTGAAGTACCTTATGTTGCCTTTTCTTCTGTCCCTGTCAGGACAAAGGAAAAATCTCTTTGACAAACAAAGAGTGAACAATGAAAATCTCAGAGAGAGAAATTTATGCTGATCAAGCAATAGCCTTGGGAGAATCTAACTGGCTTCCTCCAAAGATCCTTTCACCTGACACTATAATGCCATTTAAACTGCTGTGGATCCATCCAATGCAATCTCCATAGAATGAATCCACAGCAGTTTAAATGGCATTATAGTGGTTTAATTGTGTCAGGCGAAAAGGTCTTTGCAGTTTAGGAAGGGGCATTTAAAAGTCTCAGCCTTCCAAAACTACAAACCCCAGGATTCCATAGGAAGCAGACATGGCAGTTAAAGTGGAATCATAATGTAGTATGTAGGAATCATAACTGTGTAGTATGAAAGGACTGAGAGCCAGTGTGGTGTTATTGTTTCAGCATTGGACTACAACTCTGGATACCAGGGTTCAAATCTCTGCTCGGCCATGGAAACCCACTGGGTGACCTTAGGCAAGTCACACTCTGTTAGCCTCATAGGAAGGACCAGATCTTGCCAAGAGAACCCTTAGGGTTGCTGTAAGTTGGAAACAACTTGAAGGAACACAACAAGAACAACAGGGCCCCAGGTGCTTTTTGTGGGGGTGAGGGCTGAGCCATCCTGGAATGTGGCCACATATGCAGACTGGGGTCTCTACCTGCCCAACCATGCTCTTTAAAGTTAAGAGATATTTTCAGAAAGTGATGGGTGAAGTGGTTCATTACAGTGGCTTACACATGTGAGCTATTCAGTGATGGATAGTGGGGTTTTTATTCTGTCTACAGCACAACCACCCTTCCCACACTACTCTTGCTTTTAAGTCAGCACACTTTCTTCAAGGGTGGCCCTAGTGTCCATAGCCATTATCAACAATGAAAGATAGCAGAGGTTGTACTCCAAAACATCTGGAGAGCAGCAAAGTGGAGAAGGCATGGACTAGGATTTCATATTGGATGGACACACTGTCAGAATGCCAACCCTGCATGTGCAAGAATATTGTGCCCATTTCTAGCTTAACAAAATGGCTCCTCTTGTAATTAATGGTATCTTAGGTTGATGACTGACGTGCCATGAATTGTTATGAATTAATGGACATGAACTGTCTTCCTAACCCTTTCAAACCCTTCAGAAACCATGAGAGAGATTTGAAATGTATATTGATTGTGCAATTTTTTGAGGTGACAGTGCTCTCTTGTCATGACAGGTGGTCTGTCTCTCTTTGCACTTGCCACGCTGGTTTTGGACTGCCTCTCCTTGGGCTACTACTATGAGCTACAGCACTGTGCCTCCATGCTAATCACCACCTTCCCTATTGTGCAAGCTGTTTTTACCATCATACAGGTGAGCTTACCTGTGATTCAGATATTTATTAAGGACATCACTAGGTGAGCTGGATTCTGCCGTCCAGGAGTTAGCATCCTCTGCCTTGCTTCCTTCTTCCTCAGATCTACATCTAGTCAGTCCACATCTAAAGTCCCAGGCCATTTGGCTTTCTTACAGTTTTGTTTCTCCTTGCAAAAAGCCCACTACCACTTAAGAGACAGTGCTGCTCACCAGGTCTCAGAGAATCTAAGGAATATTTTGAAATAAGTTTGTGGAGCTGGAACCTTGGATGCAAACTATCGTTCCACATCCCCACAACAACGAGGATGGTCAAGACTAGCTGCAGCACAGAGGAAAAGTAATGGGGGGGGACTGCAAGTGGGGCCAGCATGGTGTAGTGGTTTGAATGTGTGACTACAATTCTGGAGACCAAGGTTTGAATCCTTGCTTGGCCATGAAAAAAACAATAGCTGGCCTTGGGCAAGTCATACTTCCTAAGTCTCAGAAGAAGGCAAAGGCAAACCCTTTCTGAACAAATATTGCCCAAAAAACAAGTTGGGTTTGCATTAGGATCACCATAAGTCATACACAATTTGAAGGCACACAACAACATTTGGCGAGTAGGGAAGGAGAAATGAAATCACTAGAAGTGCTACCAAAATCTTCCCCCTAAGCCTCCCCCCCCCTTTTTTTTTTAAAGCCCTTGCAAGACTTGAAAAAGACCCATTGGAGCCAAAGGAAAGCTTTTTTCCAGCCTGATTATTTTTTGGGGACAGTACAGGGACGGTGACAGCTTCAAAAAGCCTCCCACTGGCTCAGATGTATACAACTGATAGCTAGCAGTGGTGTGGCCTTCTGTGTTTAATTCTGCATTTGTCTCACTCCTATCCCTCCTTACAGGTCTCATTGCTGTTATTTAATGCTAAGGTTTGCATCCAAGAACACCAGCACATAAACAGGTAGGATTATTCTCTTGAGTTATGCAGATGATGATACACCAGCCATCTGCTGGGAATGCTAAGTGGTTTAGTATTAGTACCTGAAAGCAGAACAGCCCTCCATTTTATGAGATGGACAAAAGTGACTTCATCTCTTCAGGCTTCCCTCCAAGAGTCTGCAAGAGCCAAGCCTTATTTGGGAGCTTATTGCATGGCTTTTAAAATCGTCTTACCTCTCCCAACTTAAATTTTAATTCGGCTGGCATCCTGATACTATTGCAGTGATTTTGCCACCGAATCCGCCACCCGGTTCCATCCCTGCTCCCAGGGGCGCTCAGTGCACCTCTTTTCAAAACCAGGAGTTTTCCAGCTTAAGAAAATGGCAGAATTCTCCTGGGAGCACAGATGGACCCGGGATGGACCCAGGCAGAGAATTCAGTGGCAAAATCACTGCGATAGTATCAGGATGCCAGCCAAATTAAAATTTAAGTCGGGAGAGGTAAGACGGTTCTAAAAACCATGCAATAAGATTATTAGTTTAGGTAAGTCCAAGACAGGTTGTGGGGCATACACAGTTGCCCTATGAAAGCAGGAAGCAGCTGAGAATCCAGTAAAATAGCAGAGAATTCTTGCCACTGCTCTCCTGTCCCCACCGTATTCTGCTGAGATTATCACCTCACACTGCCTAATGGTAGAGCTGGCTTTGCTATAGAAAGATGCCATCGCATGAAGTGGGCATGAATTGTTAAGAAAGTCTGAGAGAATAATAGCATAGCTGAGTTGCTGACTTGAAGTCTTACCTAACTTTGAACCAGAATGACTGTAAAGTGGCAAAGTCTCTCAGTGATCTGCAGCAAATAACTAGGTTGCTTTCTTTTCTTTTTCTTTTCTTTTCCTTTCTTTCTTTCTCTTCCTTTGTTCCTTCCTTCCTTTGATTTCTAGGTTTGGGCTGATGCATACTCTGGCCACTAATGTGCTCCTGTGGATGAGTGTGGTGCTGGATGAATCCATGAAGCAGCTAGAAGAATTTTATGATGCTCACAAGGGAGAGAGCTCCCAGACTCCTCATGGTACTTCTTCTCTGGGAGAGGAAAATAGCAGAGTAAATGGCTGGGGTAGAACAATGACAAACAACAGGACTAGCCAAGTTCTGAAAAGTGATCAAAGGCAGGAATAAAATCCAACAGCTTTCTTTCCAACAGAAATGCTTTTTGTCCTCTCCCTGCCACTTTGCTGTTTATTTCTGAGAACATCACATTAGGGTGGAACTGAGAACATCAAGCTCTAGTGCTGAATCTGACCCTCAGAGCTTCCTCAGTTAACCATGCCTCTTTTCCCATTAGACCAACATTTGGTCTTTTTTCAGGTTTTTAAATATATTTTTTCCCATTCTGAAGGGATGAAATGAACAATTGCTGATGACTGCTGTAAAGGTATTATAATGGGGCTTTCTTAGATTAAAAAAAATCCCATTAAAGAACTGCTTTCACTCTCTATAGGTAATGGAATAGGATGGGCATCACACCCAATTAGAACAATATCTTTTCATATGAGCCTTTCTAGGATCTGATATTCCTAGGAGAGGATGGCTGGTGGGGACAGGAGATAGAGCTGCCAATAGAAAGCACACCTGCTCACTCTCTTCCTGTTCTTCCTGCAGGCAGCTCCAGCACCAACAGCTGCATCTGCATCACCAGCCTCTGCCACAGCTTTTCTGAAGGTGCCGCCTACCTGCATCCCTTCAATATTGAGTTCAGCCTCTTCTCTTCTACAATGTTGTTCATCATCTGGAAGAACACTGGGCGGGAAGGCCATCACCAGAAGCCACCACTAACTCACAGGACACATTTCCACCTCAGTGGGGCTTTTGTTGGTCTGGTGCTAGGGGCTTTGGCCATCTCAGCAACTTTTGGGGTAATGATATCCTTTGGAGTGCTTGCAAAGTTGCAGGAAACTATTCCTGAGGCCCTTCGAACATACTACATCTTCAACTCTGTCTTGTTATCTGCCATGTTCTTGGCAACCATTATTGGCATCACCACCTACAAGGTGAAGAAGAAAGTCACAGCTCTCTCTTCAGATAACAGTGTAGTAAGAAACTTAGATGTAACCTTGCTTCTGGGCAGTTCTTGTGGTCCCCTCATGGTGTCCATCTTTTCTTTGGTAGCCATCTTCTTTCTCCATACCAGTGGCACTCTCCATCTCCTGGACTTTTGCTTCTCTCTCTGCAAGACCATTCAAATACTGGGACAGAATCTGTTCATTACTGAAGCTTTGTATTCCAGCCTCTATCACAATGAAGCAGATGACCAAGATAATACTGACCTTGCTGATACAAACTGGGTCTTTTCCATTTCCAGAGGTCCTATGGAACAAATCAGCAGTGGGTCTCTCTCCAAAACTCACAGACTGACTAACATCATGACCAATTTAGAAAGTCAGCACTTGACTGACTATGATGGTGACCAGCCCCTCTTCCATATTTCACAATCTCAAGTAGAACCTAAAAGACCAAGCATCAGAAGAAAGATTCTACAGAACATTTCAATTCTCCTTATCTTCTACAACATCTCGGTGAGTAGGTTTGGTTTGTGTCAAAAGCAGAGTTGCTGCAAAAAATATTAAAAGAGGATAATTTCCATTCACTTTTGTGGAGTTTGGAGGTAGAAGGGAGTCTCCTAGAGGGACACATAGTCCACCAGTACTGATAGAAAATGGAGACAATACTCTCT